GCAAGCTCATTTGTGATCAAGGCTGTTGCTACAAGTTTCCTGTTTTGGTATGGGAAGAATATAATGCAGCAGCTGTAACTAAGGTGCATTGATCATTTTCTTATCTGTACATAAATGAAGACCCTGCAGGCTATATTGAATGCCTGATAGCTTCTGGGTGAAGGTTGAGATGTTGTGCTTGACCTATAAAGCTGTGAAGAGCTGAGGACCCTATCTGAATGGCTAGTTGCCATGACAACAGGTTGCCTAGTAACTACTTATTAAAGGATTAAAAAGCTTCTTCTCACTTGACTCTTTTAGACGCATCTGCTTTGAGTGGTCAGGATTTTGCACTTTGGATGAAATTTGGGAGGGTTTTCAAAAAGGAAGCCGTAGCTTTGATGTCCTGTATCCTAAACATCTGTTGAGAAATAGTTTTGGTTTCTAGCAGTGAAAGAACAGACTCAGCTCTTCTCTCTTTCATGTTCTGTACTGAAATGTCTGTCAGCAGTTAGTGAGTGAAAGGTGGTGCTTGGGAATGAGAAGCCTGCAGACCTTTCAGGAGGGCTTGACTACTGTTGGAGGAGTACTCCAACTCACAAAGATAACTGAAGATGATAAATATTAACCCAGTTTAGGATTCAGGTGTCTTAAACATTCTTGAACTCCAGCACAGAACTGTATCTGCACTTCCCCATCTGGCTGGCTGCTGGAATTCTTCTATTGTTACAAGTGAGCCGGCTCTGCAAGCCCAGGCTAATGATCAGAGGGTGCACTGATGTATTATAGCAGGGCTGTCCAACTGGTGGCCTGTGGGCTGAATGCCACCCCTGGGGAGGTTAACCTGTGGCCCCTTGGCTGCCAGTTTGGGCGCCACTACCACCCATCACTCTCCTGTTGCTCCTGCTGAGGGGTGTCCAGGTTGCCCCTCCCTCCTTTAGCTTCCACTTCTTGCCCTCTTCTCTGGGGGTGGGGCAGGGTTGCCTGGGGGGGCAAGGGGCAAGGGAACCTGCAGCTGGGAGCAGGGGTGGGGACTTAGGACCCCTACATGGTGCGGGTGTTTACTGCATGGTGCGGCCCCTGTGGCATATGGCTTGGGTGGGGTGTGGTCTGCATAGTATGTGGCCAAGGGCACTCAGAGTTGGACAGCCCTGCATTAAGGGAACTTTCTGGGTGTAGAAAGAAGGTGGGATTTCACATGTCACTTGCAAATAGTGAGTTAATTATTTTTTAAACTGGTTTCTTAAATAGAAAATAAGTGATGTGCTATATTAATAAGGCATGGTGAACACAACAGGAGCATTTGCCCTTAGCTCAGTAATTCTCAGCCAGGGTGTTGTGGCACCCCAGGATGCCATGAGATCCTTTCAAGGATGTCATGGGATGCTATGCGATATTACCACTGTGGCTAAGTATAGACAGTCAAAAAGCCAGAGGCTGAATTGATTGCAGGTTAGTCTAAAATGCATAGGTTGAACTGATAAGGAAGTGATCAGGCATGCACTTTTGATTCCAGAAATGCAGTCATATGCCTGCCGTGGCCCAGGCCAGAAGCCAGGGGGCACTAGAGTATGCCTTCCTGCTCACCTGGAGCAGATATCCTGGGCCAGGTCTAGTTTATGCACCCTGCAAAGGTGGAGGTGGGGGTGGTTTGCAGGGATGCTCTGAGTTGACTTGAATTTGGAGGGGATCTGGGACAGAAGTTCAATAAACCAAATGAATCTGAATCAGTTGAGTCTAATACTATGTCCATCCAGGTTTATCTTAAACTGGTTTTGGCCATTTTGAAAGTGGTTTATGTGCACTGAACTTCTGTTGTGTTACAGGTTAGAACTGGTTTCCAATCATATATGCATAATTTCTATCCCCAGCTTGTTAGTCATGCAGACACCTGCGCCAGGGGTGTCAAACTCACCCCAAGCCTCGGGCCAGATCCAGACCATATGGGCTCTTCCCTGGCTGGATCCTGGGTCCAGTGGTGCAGGTCCAGGGGTGCACAGCAGAGCAGGTTAGGGAATTGGGCAGCGGTGCAGGTCTGGTGGTATGCAGCAGTGGGGCAAGCAAGGGCTGTATCTGCACAGGCCTTACTCACCCCTGGCTGCTGATGGCCATGTCCATTCACACCCCAGCACACTGAATCCTGTAGCAGGCCATGCTACACTGGCCATGCCTCCCAACTTCTAGTAGCTGGCTCCACTATAGGCAGACTAGTTAAAATGGTGTTGTGGGCCATATCTGGCCCATGGGCTGTATGTTTGACACCCGTGTACTACACAATTCACAAGATAAGCCGAGAGATTTCAAACACAAATCCAGAGTGTCAAAACAGTCCTTCTCTGTTGTCGGCTTCTTGAGTTCTTTGGAAAAGAAGAGTTGTTCTAGTATTTTTTCCATAGTCAGGAAACAAGTGAAAGCAAAGAGCTGGCATTTTCTAAGGGGTGCCCAGTCTAACAAGGGGGCTGGGAGTCTTAAAAGGTTGAAAAGCACTGCTCTAGCTTGGATCTGAACAGAGAGCATTTTAAGAATCCTGGGCAGTACGCCATAAACTGAAATGATCTTAAAGAGTTACCAGCTGATCCTTGACTGTGTATCAGAGGACTTGGTTCTCATTTACACTGAAGGCCCTTTTGTATGGCTTTTGGAGCACATGCAACTTTAACTTATACCTACTTCAAGGCCACTTTCCAGTTCTGCATAGAATTATAGAATCATTGAAAATTAAGGTTGGAAGGGACCTCAGGAGGTCACCTAATCTAACCCCCTGCTCAAAGCAGGACCATCTCCAATTAGAACATCCCAGCCAAAGATCTGTCTATCCTGGTCTTAACCTCCCAGGATGGAGACTCCACAACCTCTCTGGGTAGCCTGCCCCAGTGTTTCCCTACCCTCCTAGTGAGAAAGTTTTTCCTAAATATCTAACCTAAACTTCCCTTGTTGCAACTTGAGACCACTGCTTCTTATTGTGTTAGCTGCTGCAACTGAGAATAGTGTAGCTCCATCCTCTTTCAAACCCCCTTCAGGTAGTTGAAGGCTGCTCTTAAATCCCCTTTCAGTCTTCTCTTCTCCAAACAAAGTAAGCCCAGTTCCCTCAGCCTCTCCTCAGAAATCATGTTCCCCCAAACCATTTTTGTTGCCCTCTGCAAAGGGGCAACAGTATAAAATTGGGCTTAGGCTGGGCTTGGGGGGAATTTTGATTTTGTAACTTGGATTATATTGTATATATGCAGGCACAGGGCTGAGCAAGCTCTCTGCTTCCTGATGAGTGGTGTCATTACAGTGTGTCACAACTAGTGATAACAGCACCGTACTGTGATTCCAGTGGGGCTCTTCCAACATCAACCATTTCTATCATTGTTCTGCCTTTATTATACAGTACAGACAGCAATACACAGGAAGGAAGTGAGTCGTATTGGTGCTGACAGGAATATGTATGTAGAGATATTAGAAGGGAAAAAACAGGTGCAACATACATGGTGGAAGTCTTCAGTGCTGGGTGTTAAAAAATTCTTAGCAGCTGTTGCAGAACTGGATGGCAGAGAGCCTGCATGTGGGCCAGTCTGTACTGTAATCCCCTCGGACAAGAGTCACTGAAAAGAGATAAGATTTTCAGGAAAGACTTGCAGGGATGAGATCATGTAGCAGAACTAATCGGAAGAAGAGCTGTGTGGCAAGAACTTATTCCACCAAGGGGGGGAGGGGTGGAAAGAAGGGAGAAGATGGTCACAAAACAAGAAGAAGCAGAACTGGGAATGAGTAATTTATGGGTCAGAGCTATGTCATGCTTCGCTATGTCCCAAATATTTTCCACCTCTCCGTGACTGTTCTTTGTCAGGAGCCATGAAACCTTTTCAAGCTGCAGGCCAGAACTACCCAACCCTCAGTGTTAGGGGGGCTTTTGCTGCTCCCACATTGGACTGTGCCCACATTGCCACTGCTCCTAGCTCCCTGCTTCCTAGCCGTAGTATCAGTGCAGTTGTGCTTGCAGTGTAGCCTTCAGGGGTGGAGAGAAGCAGCAGCAGTGTGAGCACACCTTCCAACTCCCTATCCCTAGCGTAGGCCTTTGCTGTGAAGCCCCAGCACAGGCACAGTCATGGTCACAGACAAAGCTCTGTGGCTTCATGAGCTGGATCCAATGGCTGCATAGGCCGTACGTTGCTGCCCCCTCTTAATCATGCTTGACAAGACTTGCTTTTTTCCACAGACTCCAAAATATTCTATAAGATATATTCACAAAGCCGTATTGTGCTTGTGGGGCATACTGGAGCACAAAGTATCAGCAAGTCCCTAAGAGAGCAGAGAAAAGAACATAGATCTCATTACTCCGGGTCTGCCATCCTACCCAGTGGACCACACCACCCCTCACCAGTGCTCCAGTGTAATAGTAGGGAATGCTGCTGTTGAAAGTGAGATGTAAAACTGAGGTAATGGACAGCTCTCCTTCAAGACCTTATGGTGTTTTTGACAAGACCTTATGGTGTTTTTGACTAGAAATGTCAGACAAGTAGGCTGGCCAAATGGACTGTTTGTCTTGGCACTAGCATTCTCCAGTAGTTCTACCTGGAAAAGTCCTGAAGTTTTATGCCATGTTGCTGTGTACTGTTAGTGTCAGCATTGCTCCCTGGAGGTGGCTGCGTTGCAGAAGCTTGGGACGTGATCTTAATATTCAGTTTATGTAAAATCTTACTAGTTTTGCAAAGCATTTGGAGCTCCATCAGGGTATTAGGTACTATCTAAATGGAAGACCTTCTCATTACTGAAGTTTTGCCTCCATTTGGGAGAGAGGAAGGAACCTTGTGCTTTGGATCTGGTGCAGGAACTGTGAATGATGAGAACCTTTAGGTCCAATTCTGTGAGGTACTGATCATTGTTAAATCCTGGAAGATGTAATTGCACACAGCATCAGGGTATCTTTTGACTCACCATCACAATGGGTGTATAATGGACTGTGTACGGGTTCCTGGTGTCCAAAAAGGGGCAAATCAATTTGTTTCTGATCTTTTTTTTCTCTCTCTCTAATTTAGACTAACAGAATGATTGGGACTGTGGTGGTTGGAATTGGAATTGCTGGATCAGTGCGGATCAGGGACTTGCTGAATCCATTCCCTTCCAGCCCATCTGAGCATCTGAAGCTGCTTGGCTTTGTATCCAGGTTAGATATTTCAGTTGTGAGTGTGGAGCACATTGTTTTCCCTTGTGCAGACCTCCCTCTCTTTCCCTTCTGAGCATATTGTTTTTTAGGTTCACAAATACCTTAGATGTTATATTTCTCTGGTATAATGAATGAGACCATGGAAAATGCATTTTACGTGACCACATTTAGCACCTGGAGCAGGGATGGAAAATTATTTTGGCTGAAGGGCCACTTACTGAGTTTTTGTGTCCTCTTGACCGCCACACTTTTCATGCACTCTGCCTGGAGCTGTAGGACACCCAGATCCTGCATCTCTGACGCAGAACTGTGCCAGCCCTGTCTGCAGCATAGATGATGCATAAGTGCTGACTGTTGGGGGAGCACAATGCTGTGCCACCGCTGCTGTCCCTGCTGCTGTTGGGCACTGGGTCTGACTGGGATGCAGCCCTGTGCCCTGCGCCCTGCTGTCAGCACAGAAATTGCACCACAGCTGCTGCCCTGGCTGCTGCTGGGTAATGGGTGCGGCCTGGCTGCAGACTTCCACCCCACCATTGGCACAAATCTGGGGGGAACATGTGCCAGTGCCCCCCACTCCCATGCATCACCTATGGTCTGCAGCTTACACCACCACCCACCTGGCACAGCAGAAGCAGCCCTGGGAGGACACTGGCATCAGCTGTGGACATGCTGGGCAGGTTCCAGGTGGGGGTCAGGGTGTCTGCCTGGGTCCACAACTCACACTGCCACGTCAGTGCTGGGTGGAAGCAGTCCCGGCTGCCTGCCTGGCACAGCAGAAACAGCTCTGCCTACCCTTCTGGCACTATGCAGCAGCTGGAGCTGCTGGCTTCCCACGGGTTGGACCCCATGAGTTTGTGGCCACCTGCCCGTGGACCTGATACAATCAGTTGGTGGGCTAGATCGGTGGGTCTTATTTTGTCCGCCCCTGATCTGGAGGTTAAATTAGAAAATTAGCGTATGAAGCTTTGTGAAGTGAATGGGTCTGATCACTTTAGTTCAGGTACTTTTGTGCCCTAATTTCCATTTAAGTTTGTGAAATCTGAGGGATCTCAGCATGCTGCAGGATCAGGTCTATAAAAGAGACATAGAAACCATATAACCAAAGTCTATTGTGTGTCCAGATTCCCACAAATGTGAAACAAATCACATTGATGAGCTCATGTCTATAGGTAATTCAGATGAGGAATTCTGATGTTGCAAGTCTAGTATGAAAATCTGTATTTTTGAAGCCAGCTGTACATGGTGGAGAACAAATCCAATAAGGTTCATGTTTGGACAGCAGCAGCATTGGTTCTCAGTAGCTTTCAGCCTCTGGGTACCATAGCAGTGAGGCATAATAGCTTTAAAATATGTTAATGAGGCATGTATGGCTCTCAGCATGGATGTGTTTTCCAGGTATATATAATCAATGAGTCATGCCTGTTGGACATAGGAAGGACCTGTTAGGTCACTCATTACACTCCCTGCCCGTGCAGTTTGATTCCCTAGGGTGCCACAGCTACTGAATTTACCCGAATCCAAGAAAACTTTGAATTTAAGATGACCCCCAAATAATTAGATTCTATAAATGGAAAATTAATACATTTGTTATAATTTTCCATGTATAGAATTTAATTATTGGAGGGTTATCTTAAATTTATCCCCACCACTGCTGCTGTGGGGAAAGCAATGGCAGGGGGATGGGGAGTTGGGGAGTCGAGCAGCCTGACCCCTGACCCTTGCGCCCTGCCACCTGTGCCCCCCGCACTGCCTGCACCTTCTGGCAATTACTCCCCTCCTACCCCTCCTTGGCTGCTGCTGCTTGGCCCAGAGTTGGAGCTGCAACTGAGGGTTAGTCCATCCTGGAGCATGGAGTACATGGTGGCTCTGGTCCCCAGCTGGCCAGGCAGCAGTGGCTGTGGCAGCAGCCACTCTGGGACTGGGCTGGAGCTTCAGCTAAGACTGGGGCCAGAGCTGTTGCCACTGCTGCCTGGCTGGGCAGGGGCTGGAGCCACCATGTGCTCCATGCTCTGTGCTGGAACTGGAGGTGGAGCCAGAGCCTGAGGGTAAGAGGCAGCAGTGGTGGGGCAGGCAGCGGGTGGGTACAGAAGAGGCAGAAGGAGACGTGGGGGCAGTGGCTCTGACTCTGACCCTGAACCTGATTTGGGGCCAGAGTTGGAGCCCGAGCCGCTGCAGCTGCATGACCCCGCTGTCTGACCCCTACCTTGTACTCAAATTTAAGATAAGAGGCTTTTCACTCCTTGTGAATGGGGGGACTCTTGTCTTGGGTTCAAGTAAATATGGTAGTACTGAATGACCGAAGTGGTAGGGCTTCTTCCTTTGAAGGAACTCCATCAGCCTAACATACAATTCAAAGGTAGTCTTCCCAGGACAGTTACTGCTTTGACCACATTTTCCTGCTCTTTGTATCCCTCTACACTATCAAATATAAGCAACCTGTCTTCATTTTCAAATTATCTTCATGCCCTGTATGTCCTCCTACACATCTGTCTTATCAATATGTTGTTTCTAGCTTCTGCTCCGACACTTGGACCAGCCATCACTTCCTACCTGTTACATTTTCAGACAAGTGCCTCTGTGCTGCTGCATGGAAGAGGAATTCCTTTTATAAACATCCTTGCTGTGCTCCTTCACTCTCTCACAGTGCCAACAAAATGATTGACAGTGGCAAGGCACCTGGTGTCTGGAGATCAGTACTGATCATGCTAACCTGTATTTGCCTCATTCTTTTTTTCATGTGCTCCCCTTCTGTCTGCCCTGCATCATTTAGTCTCCAGTCCTGGATTGTAAGCTGTTTGTGCCAGAGGCTATCTTTTGGTTCTGTGTTTTTAATGTTATTTATTTATTTACAGGACCTACACAAGTGGAGTATTGCACCAAGAGTGGGACATCTAAGATGTTATTGCAATACAAATCATACTAATGAGAGGGAGCGGGCTGTGATGTTACCTTTCATATTCTGATTTTTATTTAATTTGGATAATTAGGAGAGATGTGGGAAATTTTAAAGAGGTCAAGCAGATTAACCTGGAAGATGCTCTGAGAAACAAAGAGATCCAAGCAGCCATCATCAGCACAGACAACAAAAACCATGAAGAGAGCGTCAGGTACATACTTCTCTCCTTTGCTTATTGCTTCTTTAGTAATAGAGTTATATGTAGGGGCGATAAAATATGCATTGTCAAAGGATGAAGCAACATCTAAACATAATCCTTTTGTTAGCACTGTAACAAAAACTCCCACCCTCTCCAAATAAATGTGACTATGAGGTTTAAACCTTCCAAGGTAAGAGGACAAAGGCACCTCCTGTTGTGTCTATGCACAGGTGCTAGTCTTGTTGGATTTGCATATGTCTAGTTGAAATAAAAGAAGTGGATTTGTGTTCTTGAGTTCCTGTAATTCCCAAACCCTGTTCATTCCTTCTGTTCTCATCCAGTCCATTTTGTTCCTAGTATTTTGTATTTCTGTTGCAATGGTCTCTAGCAACTTGAGCCCCCAAATGTCCTTGTGAGGTAGGGAGGTAACATTTTCATTATACAGATGGGTAGAGGAAGACATGGAGACACTCATGGTCTGATCCAGAAAAGCACTTGGGTACCAAGCTAAACTTAGACATCTAATTTCAAAACTGCAATCCTGGATATTGGAAAAAATAAATAAACAGCAGAAACCATAACCCAGGTCTCCCTGCTCCCAAGCAAGTGCCCTTATCAATCACCTAAAGTGTCTTGCTGTCTGTTTTTTTACTTAATGTATTTTGAGCTCTTTTCCGCAGAGCGGAATAACTTTAACAAATGCGGTGGAGAAATCCCTTTACTCCAGAATAGGCTCTGGCCTAGTGGTTAAGGCACTTGATAGGGAGGTAGGTTTGAATTCCCTCCAGCAGAGAAGGAAAATGAGCTCAGATCTCCCATGTCATGTCTGGGTGCTGACTGATTATTGTATGAAAGAAAGAGGCAGTGCCCCTCCCACTACCCTGTTCCCATGCCTGGAAAGAAGACCAGCCCCTGCTCAGTGTTTGAAAGAGCAGCTGAAGGCATCTAACTGTAGTAGAAATTTCCAGGCTGTGAATCCCAAGTGGATGGAAGAGCTTGCATATAGCACTGAGTCAGGTGTCCCATCGTGGGAGATGGATGAGGTTTAAGACACAGCTGCATCTTCAGCATTTTTTTATTGCTTAACTTTAGGCCAGTGGTTCTCAACCTTTTTAGATTCATGGCACCCTTTGGAAAATGCCAGCTTTTGGTTTTCACTCATTTTTTGACTGCAGAAAAATAATAGAGCAATTTTTTGCACACCTAACCGTACTAACATTTTGTGGAGTCTAATGGGACCCTTGAAAAGATCTCAAGGTACCCAAGGGTGCCACAGTGCTAAGGCTGAGAATCTTTGCTCTTGGCTCTTACTTTTTCCACTTGATGGTGATTTAGGACCCCATTTTAAGATGTCTAAGCTACACAGTGCATGAGAGAGTTGCACACAGAAAATAATCCAGAACTCTATGTTAGGGTTCTTTGTCTCCAGTCCTAGTATGTTTCTTATCCTGTCCTCAAGGGGTCTGATGGCCACTAGCATCAGAAGATTTATGGGGGAGAGAGCAATTTTTTGGTCTGATTTGAAGACTTTCTACTCTTTTTATCTATCTTGTTTCAGAATGTTTCTGGAGGCTGGGATGCACGTCCTGGTTGAGTATCCCATGGCACTGTCTGCTAAGGCAGCCCATGACCTCTGGGAGTTGGCTGAGCAGAAAGGTAATGACACTTTAATATTCAAGGTGTTAAAGGTGAAACTAGATTTTTTAAAATGACAATTATCTGTATCATGGTAGCTCCTCAAACTTGCAAATAGGGAGCAGGGCCCCCTTGTATCAGTCATCGTAGAAACCAAAAAGCAAAGGACAGAGCCTGCTCTGGAGAACTTCCAGTGCAGGATTTGGAGAATATGCAACAGGTGAATAAACAGAGAACTAGAGAGAGCAAGATGCTGACCAAGATGGGTGCATTAACATTCATAGCAGATTCACTACTGGCTGACACGAACACAAAGAATGTAACTGGACAACTGTATCCATCCATAGTAATTAAAAACAGTTATGAACCAAAACATAAGCCCTATCAGTAACTCTGGGATTTGTGTCCTCCCCTTCCCCCAAGACTTTCCTTCCCCTGGAAATAGAACCATAAACAATACCTCTCTTGGCTGTGGTTGATATTACACAAGCCTCTCTGCCTATGTATGCATCATACATTTATTCCTTTATGAGTTATCATAGTATCTGTGTTTGAGAAAAGAATCCATTTCTAAGCAACACCTTCTTCTTTCTGTTACGTATACAGCCTTAGTCATAAATGCTGACAGCACGGCTGAGGGGTGGTTGTTGGCAGCCCAGCTGAGATTAGATTAAAGGTATTGTGGAGGTGGCCCCATTTGCACTGCAAGAAGGGGTGCAATGCTAGTCAGGAGCAGAGCTCAAACCCTTGGACAGGGTGCAGTGTACCCCTGCAGACTCACTCCTTTGTAATCCTTCTTCAGGTATTTATGTGCTAAAAGTCTGGAGCTTAGCATTTCACATACCTCTACCTCCTGAGTACTCACAAGGAAGTGGCCCAATGCAATGCCATGCAGAGATACCTAAGCTAGCTCTGAATATGCTTGTTCTAGAACCAGAAATGATAAAGATGGATTTGTTCAGTTCTTTGCCTGGGATAATCCATTCTACCAGTGTCTCGTGTTGTACAAATGTAGCCATACTCTGTCTCATTCTGGAGCTAGTTCATGCAGAGTTGGGGTATCTCTGCAAGGTGCTGCCTTGAGCCTTATAGATATACCCTTACTGTTGTGCTAATAACTGCATTAGTTCCAGTTAAGCAGAACTTAATACCTGTTCAGTCATAACAGCAGTTCCTATTGTTACACTAAATTGATTCTCTTGAAGGCATCCCAATGAATGTGTCTTGAATAAGGGCCAAATTTTGAGGCATGGTGGGTAGCAAGTTACTCCAGAAGTAGTCTCACTGCTAGCAGTGTAGCAAGGAACTCCCTGATGTGCTATTACAATCTGGTTGTAAATAATATATTTATACCTTTATTAAATGTATCATTTATATGGGAGGGTGGCAAGAGAGAGGGTCAAGACTTTACACAAACTTTTCTTTGAACATGAGTGTCTCCACTGCACATTGGTTTAATTCACATGATCCACATTAAAATCCATGTCTAAAAGGTTGCTGTTTATGTGGATAACTCATATGTTGCTCCTGAGAACAGTGAATTCAAACTGAATTCCTGGTATAATGGCTGACAGTCTTTCTTGGCACCATTCTGTCAACTGTGCTTAGGCTATTTGTGCAAAATTTTCTCACACTGTTGAGTGCTAAAGGTTTTACTGCCTACTTATGGATTTGGATTCAAGCTGAAAGCTTTTAGTAATCCTATTTGATCCTCATTTCCTCAACAACAGGTAAAGTCCTCCATGTGGAGCACATTGAACTTATGACAGAAGAGTACAAGCAGCTGAAAAAGGAGGTAGCTGGGAAGGAACTTGTCAAGGGAGTCCTACATTTCACAGGTCAGTTATTAAAGACTGCATTTCCTGAGAAAGTGGCAGTCCAAGGCCAGCCACTTTAGTCATTATTCATTCACTTCTGTGGAGGTTGAAGCCATGCAACCAGGACCCATATATTACATTCTAGCTCTGGATGCTCGCCTGAAATTATAGAGGCCTTCAAAACCCTCTCCCTTAACAGTTGCCTATATGGAGGAGAGGCTCTATGTTCCATTAATCTCTCCCAAATATGTTTGGAGGCATCTCCTCCACTTTTTCTATATTGGGTTATGAGTTCGCAAAGAGATGGGACAATATTTGTATGTTGGTATAAGGGAAATTACTCCCCTAGAGCCCCCTCATCTTCACTTGAGCTCCACAGAGCATAGAGAGCTCTAAGGAATTGCCCCACTCTTTAGTGAGGAACCCTCAGGCTCTTCTCCTTGTAAGACAGATTTGAAGTTTCATTTTTCCCAGCTCTGTGAACCCCCACCCAAGGAACCAACGTATCCCTGGAGTTCTATTCTACATTAATTGCATCTTTTTTCCATCTTTCTGTCTACCTTCTGATGGGGGCTTGGCATGGAAATAGAGTTCTTTTGTTCTGTTCTCTTCCTTTTTTTACCCACAGTGCTACTCAAAATGGGATAGAGTTATAGACCATGCCTGCATTAGAACAAAAGAGTTGATGCATTTGAGAGATCACAGAGAGGTTTAAAAGATTCTGTTTGATAGGATCTAACCTTTAACAATAGAAAGACAGCAGCTGACCTTCATGGGACCGATTTAAGTGGAATCCTGAGTGATGAGGTTCCTACTACAGACTGGACTCTGTCTGATGTCTCGCTGTCTGGCCCATACACATCTTCTGCCCTTGCTATTACAATCTGTGCTGCTGATTTAAGGCACCTTTCTCAAGATGCTCCGTTTTTATTTCTATAGGTGGTCCCCTGGATGAAAAGCGATCAGGCTTCCCCTCTTTTAATGGAATTGCCCGCCTTACTTGGCTAATTGATCTCTTCGGGGACCTTACTGTCACCTCAGCCACCAGAGAGGAACAGAAAGAAAAGGACTATTCCAAAATGATAGCCCATTTTGAGACTGCAAACAAGAAGTGAGTAACATATTGACATGGGAGTGGATTAGCCAGGTTGTATAGGCAGAAGGCAAGGCAGGGTGGCACCTCAGAGACTAACTTGTTCAGAGAGGCATGGGCTTCTGTAAGCTAGCATTAGATGAAGTTGTAGCTGTCACCTATGAAAGCTCATGTCTCTCTGAATCTGTTAGTCTCTGAGGTGCTATCCTGTCCTGCCTTCTGCTTGACTTCTGACTAACATGGCTAACTACCTTCCTACCTATGATGTACAGCTATCTTCAGCAGGAACTCTTCTGTACCTTTTCCTCTCTTAAATTGTTTTGTAACACTCTATTAAAATAAGGAAAGGAAGAATGAAATGGATAAAAACACAATGAAAAAGAACTCTCTGCAAGGGACACAAGCTTAAGAAGTGCAGTCTGTAGGGTTTGTGCTAACAAGCGCTGCTGTCAGACAGTATCCATCTAAGAAAAAGAGGTCCTGAGAGAGGCTCTGTTGTCAGAAGTAAAGGACTGGACCCATGATGTATGTTAGCATTTGAGAACCTAAGACTTTACTTTCATATTCAGAAAAAGTTTTGAGATCCAGAATGGAGCACCAGAAAATCTTGCACTGAGCACAGCAGGGTAGATACTTAGAAAGTGGCTCCCAATTTTTGAGAGGTCATGGGCTGCTAACTGG